GATTGGCGCGTAGAGACTCCTTCATGAACGCACCTCAGAGTAATGAAACCGAGTCACTATCAGGGAGGAGAAGGGAGTGGGAATTGAACAGAGGAGGAGGCGTGGCCATTCGCCCCAAGGCCGAAGGGGACAGCCCAGAGCACAGGGAGGCCCGGAGCACCCGCCCGCCATGGGCTGGAGGTCCAGGCTGTGCTGGCTGCCGGGGGAGCTGGGGGGGTTGGAGGGGGAGAGCAGGCCCAGGGACCGGCAGGAACCCTGAGGGCCTGGAGGCCACGGCCAAGGGTCCGAAGTGATCACCGCTGTCCCTGCTCGCTGAGCGCATCAGGAGCCATGACCTCTCGCTCCTCAGCCGGGCCGCCCTGCAGGGCCCACGCTGCCCACCCTCACAGCCCGGGCCGGGGCCGGAGTGAACCTCGGACCAGGTCCCGCTGGGGCTGCGGAGTCAGCAGGACGGCCCGGGGCCCGAGGCTGTACCTCCAGCCAGGTGAACCTCTGAGGCTGGACCGGCAGCGTCCCCGTCAGTCCTCGGGGTCACCGGGTTCCTTTGTTTCTACTAAATCCGTGAAGTGTCTGAGTGGGGACCCTACGGGAGACTGAAGGCGTGAGGCCTCACACGCAGCGCGGGGGTGTGGCCGGCGGCCTCCACGCTGGCCGGGGCCTGCCTGCGGGCACTCCCGCCGTGGGCGCACACGTGGCTCACACGCGTTCTCACGCAGAATAAGGCCCACGGTCACCCACGGCTGTGGGGTGGGCCCTGAGTGCTCCTCCTCTCTCCTGCCCTGGGGGAGCCGGACGCCAGGACCAGGGACGCCAGGAGGGCCAGGTCTGAGGGCAGACACACAGGTCCCGTGAGCGAGCACGGGGGCAGCACCCACGCCCGGTGAGCCGTGGGGTGAGGGGAGGCGGCCGGACTCACCTTGAGACGCCTGCCAGGACCCCGGGCCGGGCCTGGAGTCAGGCCAAGTTTGGGGCTTGCCCTACAGCCACTGATAAGGGATCCTGGTGGCTTCTCCCAAGATCTTAAAAAACAGCCCAGCGCCCCGGGTCCACCAGCCAAACCTCCCGGGGAAACACTGACAAGAAGCTACTGTGTGGGGTGCTCACCACTCACGGGGCCCCGCGCCCCTCAGAGGCCCGGCGAACAGGATCTGCGGGGACCTTCCGGGCCTCGGGCACGTTACTGGGGCAGAAAGACAGGCAAGCAGGCCGCTCGGTGTCCAAAACCTGGACCCTCTGCACGCACGTGGCGTTTGCTGGGCACTTCCCTGACCCGCCCCCAGAGCCCGCAGGCCACTCGCTCCGACAGGAGGGAGCAGTCGGTGTATTTCTCAGAGATCATGGCCGAGCCCTGGTCCCACCGTGAAATGCCAGGGGACAGACCGCCAGGCCCACGCGGCCCCGGGTGCTTACAGAATAGCCCGAGCCCAGGAGTGTCTGCAAATGCCAGTTGCTTCCTGGAAACCCCTCCCTCTCGGCCGCTCCCTGGGAGACTAAGAAGGCCGGTCAGGGGCCTCTGCCTCCTCGGAAAGGAAAAGAAGTCCCCCCCACCCCCCCTGCGGAGAATCGGAGAATTGCAGCCTCACATGCTAGTACAGGACAGGAGGCGAGTCACCTTGTTTGAAGGTCACCTGAGACAGGGGCACTGCTGAGCACTGAATAAAGATGATGCCCAGGTTGCGGGCTCCATCCCTAGTGTGGGGCGTGCAGGAGGCAGCCGATCAACGGTTCTCTCATCATTGCTGATTCTATCTCTCTCTCCCTCTCCCTTCCTCTCTGACATCAATAAAAATATATTTTAAAAAGACTATGAAATGTGGCTCTGGCTGGTGTGGCTCAGTTGGTTCCGTGTTGTCCCGTGAAACAGGAGGTTGCTGGTTCGATTCCTGTTCAGGGCACATGCCCGGTTCAGGCTTGGCCCCCAGTGTGGGGTGTGCAGGAGGCAGCGGATTGACGTTTTTCTCTCTCTCTCTCTCAAATCAATAAAAACATCTTTTAAAAATAAAGAATATGAAGTGGCATCAAACCAGAGGACTCCAACCCCAAATCCGCTGAGTGGCCATGTGATCCTAAGCAGGAGATCTGAACTTAGCGCTGCAGAAAGGTGGGCGTGCCCTGCCTACTCATGCCTGTGTCTGGAGGCTTAAATCAACAGACTGTGAGTCCACGGCCTACCACACAGTCATCACGGGTCGATATTATAGGGGGCGCCGCCTCTTCGTTCCAAGTCAGAAGGAAAAACCTTCGGTTAAAAGCAGCGCCTCCAGCTGAACCCGTTAATGCTGCTGCAAATTCTGCACGAGACCGAGAGCCAAAGGCAAGTCAGGGTGCGAATGAGAGACAGGTGCCAGGAAGGCAAACGGGCGTCCAACTTACCCCCAGAACCCCGAAGCGCTCGGCCAGGCTCCAGCCGCAGAGAAAGTCGATCTCAAACTTGTGGTTCAGAACCACGATGGCGTTTTCCTTCCCGAACGTGGGGTAGGCCCGGGGGTCCGTGTAGATGACGCACTCCGTGCCCGACCACCACTCCAGCAGCATCACCAGCTCTGCAACAAACCACAAGGCAGGCGCTGACCCCACGCTCCTCTGTGGCCCAGGCCGCTCTGCGGGCCCCTGGGAGTGGGGAGCGGGCTGGGGCGGAGCCGCGTCCCCGGGAGGGCCCAGAAGCAGAAGGAAGAACGAGGATAGCTCCAGGACAGTCTCCAGGGCAGGAGAGGAGCGTTGAGAAGACAAGGCACTTGCATGTCTTGATTAAGTTCCTTGGGGAAAAATAAATCAGAAAGCCCAACCCCATCAGAATTCATGCCTGTTTACAGAGCTCTGAGAGGCAGCCTGAAATGATGTACGGAATTCTTAATATTCCAGGAGAGGACTAATGGGATCCTTATAAACGCCATCAGAGAACACGGAGCACCCAAGTTTTCTCCCGGCCCAGGCCAGGCTATGCCCCTGCATCACATGCTCCCCGGCGCCCTTCGTAGCGCCTATCCCAGCCCGGGATGCAGCCTGAGTGTGTCCCTGCTGTCAACAATCCCAGCAGGCAAGGACTGTGCTGCATGGTCCCCTAACCCAGCCCAATTCCAGGACCCAGCACGGTGCTCTCAACACACCTGGGACTGGGATCTACTGTGCGCAAGCAGGGACCTACTGTGTGCAGGCGTGATGCGAGGGACGAGGAGTGACAGCAGATGAAACATCAGGCTCCTACCCTCCTGGGCTGCTGTGCAGGGACAGGAGACACCTGTCCTAGGACGGATGGGTGCTGAGTGTCAGACACATCCCGGCTGCAGCCCGGCCGGTGTCGCTTGCTGGCTGGAGACCTTCGGCCTGTTTCCCTGTCCCCTCCGCGTCCATCCTTGACTGTAAGTAGGGTCAGGAGGAGCTTGGAGAGATGCCGTGGGTGTTAGAGGGGGTTGTGCAGAGACGCTGCCCACAGCAGGCGGCCACTGAGCAGCCGCCTGGGGTTCACAGCACCGAAGGCTGTGGTCCGAAGGGGCCGGGCCGGCGGAGAGACGAACAGACAGAGGCACAGGACGGCTTCTCGGCAGAGGGAGGGGTGGCTTCCACTGAAGCCAGCGAGCTGTCCTTGCGCCCACAGCACAGTGTGCCTTCTGGAAAGACCTCTCTGGCTGAAGGTGGGGGAGGGGGGTGGGGGGTGGGGGGTATTAATGCGCAGATGGGAGGAGCTGGGCAGAAGCAGGGAGGTCCGTGGGGAGGCCCTGCAGGGCCCTGGACGCAGGGATGTTACTGGGACCAGGAGACAGTGGAGGAAGGCCTGGCTCCTCACTCATCTCAATAGGCTGTGAGCGGCCCCTCAACACAAGGTTTTAACTGGTTTTTTTTTCACCAAATTTTTACACACACACACACACACACACAGTCACACTGTCCGGAAGTACATAGGGAAAAAGGTGAAATTCCCCCTGATGGCTTTATCTCCTGTTCCTTAGGGAGCGCAGAACTACATTTCCCAGAATCCCCTGTGTTTGGTTCCGGGTAAGGGGGCCGGCAGGGACAATCCTGCGCTCAGGCTCACACGTGGTTGCCGATCCACCTCCTCGGGGGCAGCAGACTCACAGGTGTCCAGGCTTCGGCGACCTTTCAATGCCTGTCCGCTCTCATGGACATTCCCGTGACCACAAAGGCAGGCAGGGCGGACACCCTAGGTTTTAACCCAGCCCCTCCCCCCCCGCCATTATATTCCGACCCCAGAATAAATCTAAATGGACGTGTCAGCATTTGTTCAAAGCAGAGGATGGAGTTGCTGGGGACACAGGAGAGAGGGAGTGGCCGCCCCTCTTCCCACAGGGCTGTGAAATCTCAGGGTTTAAAGGAGGCAGAGCGCACACCCCTGGGTCCACCCCACATCAGATCTGGCAAGAACCTCACAGAAACCGGTTCCTCCCATCCTCCTCCCCTCCCCTCCCTGCAGCCCTGGCCCCTGACTTACCAGCTCCCTCCACCCGCTCCAGCCCCAGCCTGCACCGAGGCCAGGGCCCGTGCTGCTTCCCCAGAGGTGTGTGTGCAGTGAGCCCTTCCCAACAGACAAGACTTGCGGCCAACATCTCCCCGATATAACACAGCAAGTTTGAAACCCTCTGTCCCGTTGAAAAATGCTCAGATTTTGCCCATGTGGCTGCTCCCCGAGGTGGAGGCCAGGAGCCAGCAGAGGGGTTCTCCCCGCTCAGCCTCCCTGGCTGCTGCCTCCTTTGAGACTCGGGACGGTTCCCAGTGATTTCAGGTCAAGGCCTGGGAGGGCGTGTAGGCACAGTCCCAGCTGCTGCTACATTCCAGGGCAAGGAAGGACCAAACCCCGGTGGCTGGGAGACCAGGGCTGATGTAGAGATTAGTCTTGGTGGCATCCTGGTGTGCTGGTTAGCTAAGAGAATTACACACAGCAAACACAAATCAGAGATCCAAAGGGAACACTGGGGTGGGGGCGGGGGAGGCACCTACTCCTGTTTGTAAAGGAGGAGGAAATTGTAACATCAAGCATCCACTGAGCTCGCTCACAGCTCGGAGAGCAGCTGTCTATCCCCATTTTACAGATGAGGATGTGGTCACACCGAGGCCGCGGCGGCCCCATCACTGGGAAGCGGGTGTGCTGGGCCCTGAACCCAGACAGGGGACACTTGAGCCCACAAGCGAGCCTCAAAGTTACAAAGACACTAAGAACCACGATTATATGGGGGGGGTGGGGGAGAAGAGGAATCACACAGGTGGACCCTCGGCCAGGCCCTCCCCTGGAAGATAAAGACACTCAAAGGTTTGTTATAACTATTCAATGTGTAAACTATTCCAAGTGTTTAAACACATGCCTGGCTTGGACTCAGCGCTTTTCTGCTCCTGATACAACTGCTGCTGCTAACACAGCTGTGACAGCACAAGAAATGATTAAGGGACAGAGAGACACAGCCAGGAAAGAACTAAGAGACACCCCTGGTGAGTCCACTTCTGGCAACACCTCTGTCCCCCCGAAGCCTGCTCTGTCCTCGCCCCGACTTCTCCAGGCGCAGCAGATGGGAAGCTGGGCTCCTGGATCCCAGGGTCCACGCTCCCTCAACACCCAGCAAGATCTCAGACCACAGCCAAGACCCTCCCGGGGTCCGGCACCCCTCCTTCCCACCAAACCTTCCCCCAAGTGTCGGCTTCTCACAGTAGACAGGACTGCGGACCCCTCTCCCTCTGGGCCCTTCGGGCAGGAGCGCCCGCGAGAACTCGGGTCAGGTGGGGAGACCAGGTTCCTGCAGAAAAGACCTCGAGGCCCTGCGTGTAAACACGTGTCAGCCGCCAGGCTCCCCAGCTGCAGAGATGCAACAAAGGAAAATGGTATTTTCATAATTAACTTTATCTGATTTTAATAATTACATGATCACATATATAAAGATGTCATCTCTAGCATAAGTATATATAATTATGTATTTAGAATAGCTTTATATAATGTAACTTTCCACCCATAATTATTTAGGTTAACAATTAAATCTCGTCCTCAAAACACTCCTAAATGCAACAATAAGGAAGTTTCTGGCTCAGGAACACGGCCTCTGCCTGCACTGGTCCTGCACCTGCAGGCCGTTCCCAGGCCCAGGCGCCCACCTGGCCCTCGGGCCGGCACAGAAATCGGAATAATAACCGGACATTGGACACTTCGTGGCAGCTCTGCCCTCAGCTGGTGTCGCCAGGGCCGCCCCAGGAGCCTGGGAGACACTACCGGGCGTCGAGTTAAATAACCAGCTGCATCTCTGCCTTCCCAGCGCTCGTGCGGAGTCTGGGGATCCTGACTCAGACCCGCTGCCCGCTGGCCCCCACCTCGGGGATGTGGAGGCAGCCATGCCCCCATCCTTGGCTGGGGGGGTCCTCCGCGCCCGGACTGGCCAGGCCTAGCGCTTCTCACTTCTCCATTCCCCACGCCCACCTCCTCGACCACGCCCACTTTCCCCCAGACCACGCCCACCTCCTCGCGCATACCTTTCCGGGCCACGCCCACCTTCCCCCGACCACGCCCACGCCCACCCCGCGCACACCCGCCCAGTTCATTGAATCTTAGATCCAAGGGCGGGTACACCGCCTTCCTTCGCCTCCTGAATGCGTTCTGCGCACGGAGTCCTGGCCTGGTCCTATATTCGGCGCTTTCTTCTTAATTTCCCGGCCCGTGGCTTT